GGCCCCATTACAGCTCTCTAGTTTTTAGAAAAGCTCTTAATGGCTCTGAAACCCTGGATAATAAAAGCATTTGTTAAGTCATAGACTTTCTATTCAGTCTCATACCCAGCGAGCAAAAGAAGGCTGTGGGAATACTATGTTACACTCAGAAGAATTTTAAAAGCAAACAAACAAAATTTTATCTCACGATTGTGCATCTGCTGGTATCAGAATATATTTAGCTGCRTTTATACAGGAAGTAAACAGGTAATTGGACTTCAACAAGAAACAGTGAAGTATACTCTGATGGGAATTTTTTTTTTTGAGAAACACTTTATTTTATACCACAGAAGCATGGTTGGGCATTTTCCTGCATGAAATTGGAAACTGCTTGAAATATGAGTATTGACTTGGTTTATTCTTGTGTTCATCACGTAAACAAAATGCTATAAAATAACTTTACTGAATAATGCAAAAGAAGAGCACTTAGTAATAAACCTATCGTCATGTTCAAAAACCTAAAGAAGTACTGAGTTGCTGCATATGCATATAATGTTTYAGAAATGCATGAGAAAGCCTCATCTAGAGGCCTAGATTTTTATTTTATATTAATTGGTGGAAAAATAGGAAAGAGCAGGTAGTGAGACCACCCTACTTCCATTAGGCTTTCAAAGATGCTCTTATTCCAAGTACACAAACATTATTACTTGAAATAGATACTACTTATTGCAGCTTTTACTAAAGTATTATTTTTGCTGAGACAAACATAACTATGCTTCCTTTTTGCCCAGCATTTTTCCTTCTTTTGTGATACAATGATATGGCTCTGCATAATGTCCAGCACTCTACACAGTTTCCATGTGTTCCAGTCATTACTCTCAAAACCTAACATGTCTCTTTTTTATGTAGCCTTTGTAATGTTTGTCAGGAAAAGGTGCAGACAAYGAACTTTCCTCCATGACTAAGGTTAAAAAAGTGCCTTCTGATGAAAAATGTCCTTTCATTTTTCAGTAAGATTAAGTGTTACTCTTCCTATGCTGATAGGGTGCCAAGGCTTTTATTAAAGGCTGGAAAATTTGGCATGTTTTCCCCTCAGACCTGAGTGRATTGTTCATACATCTGATGCAGGCACATACGAGGCAATTGATTTATCCTGCTTGAGTTTCTGTGCCCTTGACATTTACATCTTAAAAATCAAAGCAGCCTGGAACTGTGCAGTACTTTGTTGCAAACAGGAAATGTATCTCTGCCGACTTCAGCTGCTTAGCATTGGTTTAATGTTAAGGGGCAAATAGCTGTAAAGCAGCAACATAGTGCTCTTTTCACTTATATGTCATGTTTAGAACCCTCAATATGTGTTCTTTCTGATAGGTAGGTATCAACAGTATCATTATTTGATATCTGTCGTGCTCGGATTACTTTTGTTATAATCTGCTTCAGGGCAGGATTCAGCACCAGCCGGACAAGGGAAACACAGGGTACTCCAGCTGTAGCAGCTGCAGAATATACCAAATACTGTGCTAATTATTTTTTAGCTTCTGTTCAAYGGGTGAACAAATTCTTAAACTGTCCTAAACTACAGTGGTAAACTGAAATGGGAAGAGACATGTTAGGTAGGGGCAGTCAGATTCATCAAAATGGCTTGATTTCTCTAAATCTGTCCAGTAAAAGTCATCTTTTATATCAGCAAAATAATATACCATGTTAAGCAACAAGAAAGGAGACCCAGAAATGCCTCAAAACACCATTTTGGTCCTATTTGTGGAAAAGGATTATAGACAAAAGTCTGTCTCCTCAGCAGACAGAGGAATGGAGTGACTTTCTAGGATGCTCTCAGTTTGAGATCACAGCCCTTGGAAGCAGAGCCAGGAATGCTCRCTCAGTGAAACTTTTGGCCAGATTTACAGAATCACTTAACAAATGTAAATCTCTGATGGAAGGAAACAATAAGGGAAGAACAATCTTCTGTCATCTATCAGTCCCTGGAAAAAATATTTTTTTGTGGTAATATGATTTATAGGATGCCATMAAGATTGATTATGCTAGAAAATCTGACACTAAAGCTGTGAAGAGTCTCATGTGAAAGGAAGAGCCAAAATGAATCTATATATTGGGGACAATAAAAAGGYTAAGGGTCAGTTCTATGATAATATTCAAGGAATTCTGATGGAATTTTATTAATCCTTCATGGTGTTGCCAGTGCAGAAAGATCACCAGAAAATGCTTCTGTGCTTTGTCCAGAATGAGCACGCAACTCCTGCCCAGAACAGACAAGTGTGATGATAAGCAATTACATAGCAAATTACCTGTCAGGAATATTATAGCATACAGTTGAGAGACAAACACAATTTTATTACTTTTACAAGTTTTTACTTTATTTCCATATCTGATGCTACCAAGGTTTTGCCAATKGCTGGAGCTASAGATACAAAAAAYTGGAAGAACTTGTTCCCTGAGGATYGAAGGTGATCAGTCTTCCTGAARAAGACAGGAAGATCAGGATTATACATKGTTTTTTCAATCTCTGAACTCACTTTCATTATGATGAGGTTTCATCTGCCATCTTATTTGAGGTTCTTTCCTATATGAAAATCTCTGGTTCACAGCAGATTTTAGATATTAGAGAAAGCAATCATAAAAGCAATTATTTTCCAGAAGAAATGCATTTTAAAATACAGTTGCTCTACAAAAAAAAAAAAAAAAAAACAACATAGTAAATGTATAAATGTAAAGAACAAATCATTTCCTTTCTCTGAAATTTCCTATGTGGAAAATGTCTATTTCTGTTCATCTTAGCTTGTCTATCAGTGGTTACATTACATTGAGACATATTTGCATCTGGTTTTGCTCCTATTGTTTCTGCAGATTTCCATGTCAGTACATTGCTGCAAATTCCACATATTCTGTATTTGTTAATATACTCAATATTTTGGTTCAAGAAAGATGTAAAACCTCAGATTTAATTGTTTAAAACCAGGTTAAAACCTGGCTGGATGTCCCAGAGAATAGTAGTGAATAAAGTTATATCCAGCTGGTGGTGAGACACAAGTGGTGTTCCCTGGGTTCAGCACTGGAGCCAGTTCTGCACAACATCTGCATCAATGGCCTGCATGAGGGAATTGAGGCCAATTGGCCTCAGGCAGTTTGCAGAGGACACCAAGTTGGGCAGGATTGTGGATCTGCTGGAGGGCAGCAAAGTTCTGCAAAGGAATCTAGACAGGCTGGATTCTTGCCATGAGGCCAGTGCCGTGAGGTTCAACAAGAAGAGCCAGGTCCTGCACTTGGGTCCCAACAACCCCAAGCAGCGCTAGAGGCAGGGGCAGAGCAGCTGGAAAGCTGCCCAGTGGAAAAGGACCTGGGGGTGATGGTGACAGYGGCTGAACATGARCCAGCWGTGCCCAGGTRGCCAAGAAAGTCGATGGCATCCTGGCCTGGATCAGCAATGGTGTGGCCAGCAGGACCAGGACAGTGATTGTCCCTCTGTACTCWACACTGATGAGGCCACACCTCACATCCTGTGTTCAGTTCTGGGCCCCTCCCTGCAGGAAAGACATTGAGGGGCTGGAGAGTGTCCAGAGAAGGGCAATGGAGCTCGGGAAGGGTCTGGAGCACAAGTCCTGTGAGGAGCAGCTGAAGGAGCTGTGGTTGTTCAGCCTGGAGAGGAGAAGTCTCTATGACCACCCAAAGGAGGYTGTAGCCAGGTGGGGTCAGCCTCTCCTYMCWGACAAGCAGTGACAGGACAAGAGGAAATGCCCKCARGCTGCACCAGGGGAAGTTTAGATTGGATATTAGAAAAAATTCCTTCACAGAAAGGGTTGTCAAGCATTGGAACAGGCTGCCCAAGCTGTTCAAAAGACATATAGAAGTGGCATTTGAGGACATAGWTTAGTAGTAGATTTGGCAGTGTTGTGTTAAAAGTTGGACTCAATGATCTTAAAGGTATTTTCTAACCTAAATGATTCTATGATTCTATGATTGTTAAGGGACCATTTTCTTCACATTAACTAATTTTGTAGTGTTTTATGTTGGGTCCATGAGTCCAGATGTTCCAAACCCACAAATTTTGSTTGTGTTTCATGTATATCATTTCAGCTGTGTTTGACTAAAATTAGATCATTGAATTCAGTTCAGAAATTTCTGCCTGTTCACTCAAACTACAGTTTAGTGAAACTGATTAAAAATATGCTGGTAGCGCCAGCAAAATGAGGATATCTTCACTGCTCTGCATACTATTGAGGTTTCCCCTTTATTTTTTTTGCTGTAATTTAAACTTTTGTGACTTTTCCACATCATTCCTCTCTCAGATGGTACATGTTTACCAGGTTTGTATTGATGTCATAAGGACAGAAATTCTTCAAGAAAGTCARGGTAACAATACCTGCCTGGAATTTCATTAAATTTGTATGTCTCTTTGCAGTTTGGCTTAAACAAGTAAAAATTTAACAAGTATTCTTTACTATTACTAAATATGCTTCATTTAAATAAATAAAACCAAGAAAGGTACTAATGCAATTACTAACCTCGTGGTGGGTTAATGCTCTTCCAGTGCCTTGTTGGTCTCCATTGATAGGGAGGTAATTGGTTTATGTGCTAAGAAARCTGATTACGTTGCCCAGACAGAGCAGGAGGAGGGTCTGAAAGGTAGAAAACATGCAGACCAGAAGGATCTCCACTTGGGAAAATTCTATGGTCTGTGCAAAAACCTTGTTAGTTTAAAAGCTGTTTCTTTTACACACTTCCTTGCCCACCATGCCCACTTATAAATACTGAAGATGATGTGCACCACTGTGTTACCATCCAAAGAAAAAGGAATTGGAGGAATGAGATATATGTTAGAGAGGCTGAAGTCACTGAGATTGAGAACGGGAACAGCAGCCTCAAGCTGAGACTGAGAGGGAAAATCAARTACTGTAGCCAGTGAAAGCTACAGGAGATCAGGAGAGGTGAGAGCTGTAATTAACCCAGCAGTTGTGAGAGCCAGTCTCTCCTTTTCCTGACCTGTTCTCTCCCTTGCTTTACAGAGAATTTGGAAAGGAGAAGTTGTATAAATGACTGCCTAAACAAGCAGGAGCAAAAACTGCCATTTCCAGCAAAGTTCCAACATAACACAGAAGGAAACCAGACACAGCTCTGCACATTAATTCAAGTAAGGGCCCACTTGAAGGAATGTTTAAAGTCAATCTGACCAGACACTCCATAAAGCAGAGGAGGTCTAATACGTTTATATCCTAGCCATTGCCCTTCTGTTGCTAAGTTTAATCTGTCAGTTCACATCTAGTTAAACTATGGAAGAAAATCAAACACTGTTGCTTCAAAGGCAGAGTGAGCTTGATATTGCCTAATATGTCAAGCCAGAATAGCTGACATGCAAATTAGGATCCAAAGCATTCACTCTTTTATGTTCAGTCAGGTGCTGGCAAGATCAAAGGGGCCCCTAGAACCTTTGAATTTATTGAAGGGAAATTTGGAAATTGTCAAGAGCTTGCAGRAGGGTAGAGAGGACCCTGAGCAGAGACATGGCCAAACTGCAAAAGACACAGTGCTAAAAAAAAATTCAGACATCTATTTCCTCACCCAAATGATATCTCTTAATCAACATTGCATTAGTGAAAATCTGAAGAATCTTTGATTGGCATCTTTGATATGGTGATGAAGACTCTTACGATTCATCTCCAAAATTATTCAAAGTATAAAAGACTGGGATAAAAGGGTCTTTGGATACTGTAGGCCATAGGTTTTTTCTTTTAGTTGATACTAGATGTCCTAACTTCTGAATACTAAGTTTGAAAGTTCCTTTGAAGACTTTTTTTTTAAATTGATAGGTCGTCAAGAGAAAGACTGAGGGAAATAAGATAAGTATTTCTGCGTAGTAGAATATCAGAATTTTTAACCACCTCCTCAAATGATATGTAGCTCAGAATAGGTGTATTTTGYTTTCTGTTTCCTAAACTAACAAGATTTTCAATCTTTTAATAAACATTGCCTTGAGCAAATGTTTAATAAAAAATGCCTTGAGCACTTGTACCATACTCTTGTAGTTTGGATTTACAAGTATAAGAGTTTCAGGAGAGAAATAGCACTAAATTCCTAACAGGGTAAGACCTTAAAACATTAAATCCAAAAACCTTAAATGCTAAACCACAGTCTCTTCCAGTGGGCATTAGGCAATTAAAAAAAAAAGTGCTTTCTCTTCAGTATCTTGTTACAAGAACATGGGCTAAAGGATGTAAATAAAGGTTTAACAACATTAACACAGGGTAGCATACTAAAAATATTATCAAGAATGCACTGAATTTGGCTAGACTGCTTAGCTTTTTCTCTCCTAGCAGCGTCAACAAGAGCACCAGAATTTTTCAGCTTTGAGAAGAGGTGACTGAGAGGGGACTTTGTCAATGTCTGTCAGTGTCTGAAGGGAAGGTGTCCAGAGGATGGATCCAGGCTCTGCTCSRTGGTGCCCAGCAATAGGACAAGAGGCAATGGGCAGAAACTGATGCGCAGGAAWYTCCACCTGAAYRTGAGGAAGAACTTCTTTACTGTGTGGGTGACCATGCACTGGAACAGGTTGCTCAGAGAGATTGTGGGGTCTCCTTCACTGGAGATATTCAAGAATTGTCTGGATGCAATTCTGTGCAATGTGCTCTAGGATGACCCTGCCCAAGCAGGGAAGTTGGACCAGATGACCAACTGTGGTCCCTTCAACCTGACCCATTCTGCGACTCTGTGATTCTGTAATATTAGGCTCTATTGTAGATGCCTAACAGTAGGCTTTTACTGGAAAAAAAWTGATAACTGGTAGCCAATAGTTTTCATTAAATCTGCTTCACATAAATTTTGACATAACATGTAAGGACTAAGAAGATATGCTAGAAATTTCAATGCCTTCCTAAAATATTTGTCCTTTCTATTTATAAAGAGGAAGTTTAATAGTACACCTTCTTTTTTTGTACCATTGCCTGTAATATATTTTGTCTTTCTTGTCATAAAACARCACTGTGAGGCAGAAATGCTTTTCTCCTCCCCTGCCAAAGGAAACTGAGAACACACATCAGTGGTGCATTTTATGGGTTGTTTTATGTCTTGATTTTAATTCAGAATTTCCAAATGCATGTGTACACCATGGCATGAAATCAGGGAGTGCAATTTCAAGTTTCACTGTCTGCACTGTAAGAATTTTCACCTGAACAAAGGAAATTCCTTCTGTACTCAATGAAGACCTAACTACCACAGGCAGGGAGCTCAGGAAGGCCTTYRGATGAGCAGATGTGTTTCCCTGTAKATACCTATCTGCAAGCAGACATTTGCACTGTAGACAGCTACTGGGGGAACTCCAAGTGTAACTGGATATAGTGGAATCTGCATCCTGGCTGAGTCCATGACAATATTCAGCAGGAGCCCTTCTGTGGTGGGTCCTGTGGCTGCTGGAGAATGGATATGTCAGCCAAGGAGTGTGTGATTGCTGTGGAAGCTGCAGTGGCCCTATACCACATGTGGCACTGACAGAGGGGCTCTGTAGCTGGAGCTCAGGCAGCCTCACCCTTTGACAAGGTGGTTATGGACCAGCTACTGAGTGAGGCAGATAAAGGAACAAAACTCTGTCAGGAAATACTCTGGCTGTTATCCCACCCTCTGTCCTATGGGATAATATAAACAGCATGATTCAGACCAGATCCCACAGGAGCCAGGCACTGAACTCCTTTGGGATTTTGTCTTCACATGAATTATTAGAGGTTATATAGTAAGTCTTTGAGGCAGAATGTAAACAAACTGTGGTATCCCAAATCTTAGGCTAATGTTTTACACCTAAATAATCTGTCTCAAAGTGTCTCATGATTATTTTTTATTTTTCTGAAGTACATTAATTTAAAACACTTCTATGAGATACAGAGATAAATYTGAACTGGCTGTTAACTCTTTATATCTGTTTTCATTGAACCAGAAATAATTTTGAATTCTGCCATTTTATTAAGGAGAAGAGACAGAAAGAGAGACAGAGGAGTGTTGGATGCACTTTGTGCCTCTGAATAAAGATGCTCAGTCTAGGAGAAACAGGAAACATGTATGCTGATTTAGGGGGTAAAGAAAGACAGAGGGTATTCCTCTGATTTAGGCTGGGATGGGTATGAAAAGGTGACTGTGATGGAGTGTGTGAATTCAGTGCAGTCAAGGATGACATAGGTGTTTTGTGAAGTTTAGTTTGTATATGTTATATCGTGTAAGGTAGACATGAAAAAAGTTTTCAAATGTGCAGCAATGTGGAGATAGATTGTTGTTTTCCAAAATCTGTGTTCCCCAGTGTTGCACACCTTGGGTACCTTGCCTTTYCTATTACTAAGGGGCTCTCATGGGCCGTTCTGGACCCTGCCCTGCCTCCCAGCAGGATGCCTCTGCTTCCAGGCCGTCCCACAGCCCTTTCCYCTGTGGACCCCACTTGGTTGTTCCCATGCTGTTATTCCCACAGCCTCATCCCAGCAAACCCACTGCAGCAGTGGTGTTGGTTTTCCTGGGGAGTGAGCAGCACTGGCCCAGACTGACCCTTCCTGCTCCTGCCTCCCCCTCTCAGCTGCAGTGTCTGGCTGACCCGAGGAGACCCGWGAGGGAACACAGAACAGTCAGCACAGAGCACTTCCTGCATGCCCTGATCAGCACTGACAACATTGTCCGCAGGAACAACAAATGTGACAGGGCCTGGGGCAGGTCCCGAGGTCACCCTGGGGTGGTCGGTCCCACAGGAAAAGTGGGATGGTGGCGGTACCAGCTGCCCAAAGGAGGGTGTTCCTCAGAGGATCTGCCCTCCCTCCTCRGCATTTTTTTTTCTCTTTCTTCTCCACTGTCCTCTTCCCAAAAAGTAACATTCAACATGAGAGGTACTGTGAGCCACCAGCTGAGAATAATTGCCCCTGACAACAACACTTAAAACACGTGAACCTGTCTCAGCATCCTCTGTGTAACAAATGGAATCTTTGTCAGTGCTTTTTAGGCCAACATTCTTTGATCACAATACATTTAATGATACTGATGTTGATATTAATGTTATTGATGTCATAATTACCGAGACAGAAAACTGTTGCTTTAAACCTCTCATAACATCCTTTTTCTTTTCCCTTCTTCCAYCTTTACATAAATGCATCCCTGCTCTCACAATCAAGTCTAGCAGATTTTGGTACTGGAGAAAATGCCATCTTCACTTAGCACTAGGAACATGGAGTTCCCTGTCTTCAGTTACAGAAGAGATGTKTATATGGAATATGTAAAATCTGTTATTTCTTGGTTTGCTTGCCTGGCTGATATTAGAAGACCAAGTCTATCATATTGACCTTCGTGGCATTACTTCAGAGGAAGCTGAATCCAAAAGGGGTATGAACCTCCAGGGTAAATAGAGGTTAAATCCATTTTCAAAGTAACTTCACATTGTCAGCACTGATTTTTCTATTGACTTCAAAAGTCAATAGATATTTAGATCACTGCAGATTGTGTTTAAAATARGTTTCATGTGATAGAAGCTCTATAATATGCATAACAAGGAATTGCCAGAGTCTTAGACCAAGGCATCTTGATTGTATATTCTATATTAATTCCAATTTTTTTAATAGAGAATATTTTTATTGTTGTTATAGGAATCTSTAAGCTGGACCATTGCAAAGGCTGAAACCAACCATGTTTCAGATRGATAAGATTATTTTCCTAATATGTGGAAAAATATAGAATGTGTTTTATGTAATAGAGTAGGAAATGATCGCATCAATTGTTATGTAATGTCAACAAGTTTTGTATCTAATATCAAATACAATTTTTCAATAAAGTCAGGTCAGTCCTGTACTATCCAATATATGCTGACATTTGAAAGAATGGTGGRGTTTTTAAGGACGAATGAGCATGGTTATTTGGAATATTGTTTTTAGTAAGATAAAAAGATTGAATTTCTCATCCACAGGAAATGTTTTCTTTTCTTGGAGGTATTTTTTAAAACTTGTTGTACAAAAAGACAACACAATGGCAAAGGCAACAAAAATAATACTTTTTTTTTACTTTGATAAAATTATTTAAATTTTTTTACTCATCCACTACAGCTCATATGCAGCTGCCTAGCATGAATAATATTGTACAGACATCTGTGACAGTTCAAAAAATCTAGGAATTATGAAAGCTCTGCCAAAATGGTGAAACTAATGAAGCCTGCTAATTCATTTTATATAATGATGCAATGACAACTGGCAATTTGACTATGCATTATAACTAASTACTCATTTTTACTTCTAATTCATATGAATATCCATTTAAGCCTTTAAAAGAGACTAGTGTATAGAACAGAGTTTCAAATTTGCTTTAACTGTCTTTCATGGAAATTTTTTTACCTTGAATTTAAAATTAAGCTRAATGGCAGTGTGTTGCCTGTTGTTTAGCCTTTTTCCTAATAAAATTTTGTTTACCTGTATATCATAACAATATATGTTGTTAATACATCATTGAGCTGCATAAAATCATACAGATTTATGATCTAGATATTTGTATGTCACATACATAAAGTTGGTTTAAAGCACTTCAAGTTATTCTGTTATTTAAGGCATTCTACTTACACTGTGACTTAGTGCACCTGCATGACATCCCAGGGCAACTTTTWTTTCTTTGCACTGAGAAATTGCTCCAGTCCTGATCATCTTAATCAGTAACACRCTCCAAGAAAATGTCTGTAAATCCTTGTAACTCTTAGAGGTAAGGCTGTGCTATCCCAGAATGCCACTAGCTGCAATCAAGTCATAGAATCATAGATTCTTTTAGATTGGAAAAGTCACTTTAAAAAGTTCATCAGTTTCAACCATGAACTCAGAACTGCCAAGTTCATGACTAAACTGTGTACCTAAGTGCCACATCAACATGTTATTTAAGTCTAAGTCATTGCAGTCTTGATTTAAATTTGGACACAAATTGTGCCATGGTTATAATAGCATACCTATTCTACACACATCATGTCACAGAAGTATCTCAACTGACCTTTGTAATGCCCGTGTGTGAAGGTGAACAGGAAATCATAAATATAATGTAGAGGAGAAATTAAATGTTCAATACATAGCTCTGTTTGAAACCATTTAACACCTGCTGCTAGTGACAGCCACCACGAATCTTACTATTAATTTTATATTCACATGATATGGTTCTTTCCCACCTCTTACACATTTTCTCTGTTTAGTATATGAATAAARCTGATTAACATAATTTGAGCACTCAACGTTTTTCAGGATCAGAAGCCCTGTGCAAAAAATATTAACTTTCTATGGCAAGAAGGGGTTTTCCCCCTTTGTTAGAACATTTAGGTGCAACAGTTACCATGGTAACATGGTCACCTTAATTTCAGTTCAATAAACTCAGTGATGTGCAGTTTGCTGATATGGAATTGTAAGAATATCAARCAATCCTGTATGTTGAATATGTGGATTTTCTCCTTTGAAAGATGGATGCTTTGCTACTTGTTTACTGACAATTAGATCCCAGCTAAAGAACTGAATCTCAAGATACGATGAAGGGCTAACTGGACAAGATTTGCACAGATGATTGAATGTGGACTTACTCAAAGTCCAGATTAACTCCTTGAATTGATCTGTATGTGGCTAAACTTTTTATCTTTCGAATATGGTTTTAGAGGAAAAATAGAATGTATTTTTCCTGGTACAGAGCGGAGACTGGTCTGTCAAATTGCCATATGCTCTATTTTTTCCCTTTGATATCYTTTCCACACTTTTTAAAAGGGAAGWTTTTAAAGGCAAGCAGTTATGCAGGTACCTATAGTGGATAACTGGTACTTTTAACTGTATTCCTAGGTAGGAGTAGAAGAGCAAGAAGACATACAGCTCTTATAAATTCTCCCTGGGTTTCCACAGACTCCTGTGGAAGCTGAGAGCTGGAACCTGCAGCACTGCTATTCCTTCAGAAAAAGGTATGAACTATTTCTACTGGGGAAACTCCTGCAGGTATTGACTCCCATGACAGGATTCTTCCTTTAGTGGAAAAGAACAACTTGGTCCTTTGTGGAATTTCCACCTTGTCTTACAAGTCATCTGTGCTGAGTTGACAACTTCTTTCTCCACATTTACAGTGCTGTTAAGTAAGGTCATTCAGAAAGTGGAATTGTACTGGTGTTAAGCTAAGCTAACCTTGATGAATTACAATACTAAAATACAACAAATTTAAGAATTATTTTTAGCTTATATTTTAAGATAGAAAATGAAAACCACTGCTAGAGTATCATGTAGAAGAACTGTGTAAGATGCATTACATTTTTTTTCTAGATTCTAATAATAAAATACAGTCAGTCTCACTGATAGACTTTGTTCTGAGTATTTTTAGACTGAGATAAGTATTTTTAGACTGAGATAAGTATTTCTGAGTAATGTAACTGCCCTAGAGTTGTGTGGGTGTGTGTGTTCTTGTAGCCAAGACAGGAAGGAATACATATTTCAGAAGAGGATTTAATATGTCATCTTCCAAAGCATATAGGATAGATATACATTCTTTCAAAATCCTACCATAATAGTCATGGGAAGGTGTTCAAAATTAATTTAATGAAATATTTTTTTTATTAGGTTCAGACTTGTAGAAGTTGGAGCAGGACATTTTCATTTTGTATAAGCAATTTTCATTCTAAATGAATKGAATGTGGATCAGTGTTTCCATATTAAGAGATGGCTCTGCCACAGCTCATATTTTCCATCAATAATAGATACCTGTCACCCCTGGCAGTTAGGAAATCTTAACTGGTACTGACTGTTTTCAGATGTATTTCAAAATGAGACTTGAGCAGTGTTTTTTCTGTTGGCAGTTTGAATCAGTATTTGACTTTAACCAGTTTSCAGATGCAAACAGGCATATTATAAATACACAAGCATTTTCACAGCATGCTTTATTAATTCTTTAAGTTAGAGATTGTCCATTCATATCTGTCAGAGGTAGATTTATTGGGATGGGCTAAAGGACTTTTAARTCTTTTCTTCTCACAGCCTACCCCATTAGTAGTGTCATCCTTCATCATGATGGTAAAAAAAAACAAACAACCTGTACATTTCATGACAGTTGAAACCTGTCCATAAGTATGTAATAAGTATAGGCAATGCCTTGATTTACTCAATACACTTTAATTTTTCAATTAAAGCCTAATGGGACTTCACACAATCTTATCTTAGCTCTGACAAGACAAAAGCATGACTGTAGTTTACCAGCTAAGCAGGCTGTAGGAATCCCAGAAATASATTTACATGTGGTTGGCATTGTGTGTTGCTGTTTTCAGAATGCTGRATGTCTTGCTCTAAGGTTATTTTCTAAAGAATTCCCAGCAAATGCAAGCATTTCCTCTGTCCTTGGAGTAACTGTGGTGGTGTTCTACCAGCCCCTCCTAATCAGGGCTGTCAGTGAGCAGCAAGGGCCACGCTGCAGGATACAAACATCTGTAAGGACAGGAATGCAAGTGCAGACTCCAGGACACTTATCTATCTCAAGAGGTGTTCCTTTCRGGAGGACTAGGTCACAGCAGAATTTTAATCAAACAAAATGACCCATATCCATCCTTTACCTAAGGGATAAAAACTATGCTGAAGTACAGGGAGTTGATTCAGGATTAAACTGTGAAACAACATGAGGTAGAGTCCTAGTGCCATCAAATGTTAAAATCAACTTGTGTGGTACAYAGCTAGTCTTTGTGGCAGCAGTTGTACATTCCCAGGAAAATGGCCAAGGTGAATCAGATGAGAAGCTCTTCCTAGCAATAAATAARCATGCTCATCTTGTGTCTGAGTCATCAAAACTGGTCTGTCCATGACCTCTAATAAAAGGTCTTTTAATTCTTTGTCCATATTCTTGCCTGCTTTTCCTATTAGTGAAACATAACAAGTATATACAAATAGTTAAAATATTAGACTAATACATGTCCAGAAAAATGTATTCCTATTTTTACCGGAAAAATCTGAAGAAGTAATTTCTTCCTGAACTTTTACCTGCAACGGTGAACGCAATGGTATTTTTATTGAGGAGCTTTTTTTTCTTTTTCTCATGCATGCACACAACTGCTRTGGAGAACATGAAAACTTCAGACCTTAAAATAACATTTCACCTGCACTACAGTCTGAAAATTCACATGAGAAGAAGTACTATTTCTAGTGAAGACAAATGCTGAGACATTTATGCTATGGGTTAGCATGTATGTCAAAAGAAAGATTTGGGAAAGACAAAAGGCTGCTCTTGTGCTTTGTGATTTCTGAGAAATTAAATTATCATTCAATCCACACTTTTATATAATGATGTTTGTAAAAGATTAGCACACATCAGTTGTAGAAATTAAGGAGAGAGACCATAAATCTTGTGATAAAAAAGCTGWTGAATGTCTAAAAGGGCATATTCTCCAACTACCTTGCAGATCTCAAGACTAACATAGGACACAGTACTTTACAAAAGGGAATTAAAATGTTCCTCGCTTTTCTGCCTGCTTCTCCAGTTGGAAGCCAGAGATGTTTTTCAGCCAGAAAGTCTTTGCCTGCAGGGGAACATAAGATTATGAATTTGTTTTGTCATGAAAAGCCTATGCAAATACATGTATTTGTTAAAATTTCTGAAAACAAATGGCAATGGATTATTGTAGCCATCCATTTAAATTTGTTTTGTCATGATGACATAATGAACAACAGAACACTGCAGCAGAAACATGCACACAGCTGATTGTCCAGATACACAGCAGGCTTGCTGAATGTAAAGGAAGTTTGCTGTCAAGAGTCCTCAGCTCTACTAACAGTTCAGGATGTGAGCAGWGCTTAGCCTGTGGGAAGGGGAGAGCTGCTGCTGAAGCTCCCTGGGACAACTCCAGTGCTGTCTACAGACAGAACAGCCACACAYCTCTGAGCACTCCAGTGGTGTGCATGGAGCTGTTTCTCACTGCATGCAATGCACACTGCACACTTCTCTTAGCACAGAGCTGAACCTGACATTATTGCCACAGAGGCTTCTTTGGCCAGAATTCCTGTCAAGAATTTTAAGGAAGGGTCTGCTTGCAAACAGCTGACACAAGAATATAACAAATGATTACTTGCAGGAGACAGTGCAGTAATCCACTGTCAAACTCTAATGGGAAAAGAAGACAGTATTTGTGGAGAGGAACTAAGTACTACATCATGATGGTTATTTATTGTCAAATGTTAAAAAAATTAWATACAAATACTTTGGCTGGTGGTGTTGCCTTTCACCGTGTTCTTGTGGGTTTTTTTTCAGTTAGTGTTAAGCTATGTCATTCATTTAAGTATAGGATATATCATTAGCATGTTGTTTAAAATTATTATAAATTCAATTTTGTACGTCACTGTGGTAATGTCTGGTTCTGTCTATTGTAACAGGCAGGTTTTTGTAAAAACTCCAGATATTAAAATAATTGCTTCTGGATACATAATCTTCAAAAAGTGCTTGGCAAGCCAGGCATCACAAAGCTAGATAATAAGGACATACTGGGGCCTCTCCATKGTATGATCTGGGCTGTATCTGAACCGTGTGCCCATTCTGTGGAGCTCTGAGTTCAGATACCACTGAATGTTGGCAGATTATAGTAAGATAACTAAATAGTTTCTCCTCCTATCTATCTGTTCTACTTCTTTCTTGAGGGTTTGCATTTCCATGATAAGGGGAAGTAAAGAGCCTAAAAGTGCCTTTAAAATTTCATGGGCTGCAGGGGGAGAAGGTGTCTGAGGTGTCTGTATCCCTTTGTGAAATGTGTGTCACTAGACAAAAGGGAGGAAGCAACTGAAAACCAAACGAGGTCTGGAGTTGTGCACTACCTTTGTTTCCCCTCTGGTACAGGCCAGATAGATACTRTTTCATATATTATTAAAACTCATACTGAACTTATGGATAGTGATATTGGGGAAGAACATATTTTATGGGGAAAAGTGCTGTAGAATACCAGTGAGGAGAATGTGACTGTGAACAACAGTGGGAGTGTTTTTATTTCATCTAAGTTTGAAATAGGAGAACAGGATCAACTGCTGAAAGCAACTCTAGCAATGCAATATCCAGTATCGGGAGAACAAAATCCTTTTGTTTCCTGACCTCGGCCTCATCAAACAAACCAAGAGAAAAGTGTTATTGAGCTGGMGGAATCTGTTTACTGGAACAAATACTGAAGCACTGGGATGGCATCTTAGAGCACAAAAGACATTGGAACAGAACAGTCCTACTCTGGAAAAGAGAAGCAGCAATCATGCACAGATGACAACAAAGTCAACAGAAAATGAACTTGATGAACTACAAAGTAAACTGTCAATAATTCTGTTTCCTTTATTTARCTGACAACTGTACCTAAAATTGATCTCAGTTATACTGATGTAAGATGTTTTAAGGACTCTTTAAGTGACATCTACATTTAATTCTGTTTGAAATGTTCAAGTTAAATCTGCTTGTGCTTTCAAAAATGCATGATCTCGTGGAGTGAATGATGGAGAAAAATACCTATTCAAAATTAATGTCAGTTTTCTGTACTGTAGAGTTAATGAAGCTAACTGTTTAGTGCATTCCTATAATGAGATCCTGATCATCTTTCTGTAGTATCAAAGACATTGTTTGGTATTTGTGCTTTGTTTTCCCTACCAAACAGGCTTCAGTATATGAATATTTTTTTACTCTGTATCTTGGTATGCATTCTCTGGTATATCTGTATATAGTCAGTCACCTAAGCTATATGTATTTTGCTTCTTAACTGGATGATATACTTTCAAAATAGGAAAACTATAGTATATAAAAAATAATGCATTTTTATGTTRGATTACTTATGTTCTTTATTTGTATTAAGCTTTATGATTTTTCTGCAATTTATGGCCACTTTTGAATACTTATAGGTTAGTGTAAGTAGTAGCAGACAACTGAATTCTCTATACTTTATTTAAAGTAATTTATATTATTAATAAAAATATAAAAATATTAATTTGAATATGATCTTAAAAATTACATTCCAATATATTATCAAGATTTTTTTCCATAAGTTTATTCATGTTTCTAAGAATTATGTACAAAAAGACATAAGASAGAAAAAAACTTTTGAATAACAGTCCAAGTTTTAAAATGCASTTCTGATTTTTATCTTTAGCAATAAAATACATTTGTTATAAATGGCAAGATAGAACTTACCATCTGAAAGCAGTGATACACGTCGAATATTCATAGACCCTTTTCATCCTGTGAGTGAACTATACACACCAAAAAAACACCAACTTCCACAAAACAAATACAATAAATCATACGACCCTTCCTCACACCTGCAGAAAAGAGCTGGGTAAGCAGTCAAATCTTGCAGAGTGCCCTGAAGGGCATCATCATAACCTCAGGCTCTTGTGCACCACAGCAGTAGAAGCAGGTGTCCTGCATACTTACCCTTATTCTCCCGAGGGTGACATTGTGCCTTTTTATTTGACTTGGATCCTTTGACATTCTTGACAGTGTCATGTCCTCTCATGCACTTGTGGAATTTATCTAGAAGACAAAAAATGAAATTGATTATCTGTGGCTCTTCTGCAGCTCCCCGAAGGACTAGGACACGATATGTTGGTGGACTCAGGGGATCAACTCAGTTTAAGCAGTAAGTCACTTCATCAGGCATTTGAGAAAAGAGATGTACGTGTACAGTTCTGTGTTTTCTGGTTAGATCTGACTTCTGCAATCCCCTTTTCAGCATCTGAAGCTGAACATCCCTTGATACTTAAATTATGAATGTTATTGTCTCTCCTGACCAGCTCTGATATCATGAGCTGAAATCTCATATACCTTCTGAAACAGCCCTGCCAATTTGTTGGCTACTGAACAAATTTTAATTCTACAAAATTTATTTTTGTGTTTATTCTCTTTTCATAACCTGTTCTCCTCCCCCACTGCTACAGAGTCCTGTTATTCTGGAGTGTACATGGCAAAGAACGGTGTGGCAGATGGGGCTGCTCCATATTTAATGCCTTCAGGGAGAAGAACACAAGGGCATGCAGAGCACATGTGTGGTCCAGCAGCAGTCTGTCAAGGCAAACCCTCAAAAACGTGGGATGATAGTGCCCCAAGAGTGAGARTCACAGAGACAGAACAGCTCAAAACCACACTCCTCTGGTGCAAGAAAGCTTACTAATTTAATATTAATTTATGAAGCATTTATTCTGATATTTTGTAAGTCAGAGATTTTGCTCAAAAGGCTGGGGAGGTTTTGGATAAGAAGATGTGAAGAGGGATATCATCACCTCCTGTTTCTCTGGGAGATGACTGTGTGGAGGGGCACTAACAGTACAAAAACTAGATCCTAGCAGTGTCAAATCTTAGAAGCTGTGTCTCCTGTGATCTCTGTGCTCATTTGCACAGACACTGAGAGTAGCACACTTTATATATCAACCTGCTTTATTAGTTCATATATCCCTTGTCCCCAGTGAGTGTTGTGTTTAGTGATCACCACAAAATCTGTCCTTTGCCTTAAAAGCAGTGATTTGGCTGGTGAGACTGGGTAATGCATAACCATGAGCAAGTCGTAGAGCCCACTTCCAAAGTACTCTTCTCCAGCCTTCCAAGCAGCCTCACTGAACTTTCCCTGGACCTCAATCTGCTCTGTCTGGCTAGCTTTGCTGCCTGTGAGAAAGGAAAGGGACTTAGCTTCTGAGCCAGTCATGAGGGGATGACGTGTTCATCCCTTAAATGAACAACAGCAAAAAGGAAAGAAAGGCACCTCTCTATTGCACTACACTTTATTTTTTATTTATTTATTTTTTTTAAGCTAAGGCGATTAAGTGTGAGCCTTCAGAACTGAACTGCGGCTCTGGCATTTGCCTGAGCAGAAGGAAGAGCCCATGCCCTGGGGGGTGCATAGGAAAGTTAGTYTGGTTTCTGGACAAGCCTGGACTGTCTAGAGTGGGCACAAACAACAGCAATCTCAGACAGTCGGCACAAATACGGAAGATGTGTTCAACAATTAATGTATCCTGGCACTGCAAGGCAGAACTAAGCTGCCCTCCTCTCCCAAGTTAGGGCTGCAGTCTGCGTTCAAATAAGAGCATCACACAGGCCCTTTATTAACCAGCGGGTACGTGCTCCTCTCTCCGTTTATGCTGATATGCAGTTATCGCTGCAATTAGCTGATAAGACAGCTGATGACGGCTGCCGGAGGGCAGAGCCACCGAGCCCGTGCCCAGGCTGCAGCAGAGGAAGGAGCCCGGCGAGGCRCTCCGAGGGCGCCGGAGCGAGCGCGGCTTTGGAACAGCGACTGCATTTTCTGTGCCTTCTGCAGTGACACCTGCCGTCGGCTCCGGGCATGGGGATGGATTGCAAAAGCTCCTTTTTCACAAAGCTCTTCKATCTGTTGCGTCTAAGTCTTTTGAAGACGCAAAAACCCCGCCTCTGGACTGATAACTTCAGTTGGATATTCCAAATAAACTTGGTTTCATGCTCTTATGCCATTCTTCTTATAACAAAATTAATAAGCAACACTACCAAATTTACTGTTTCATGCTGACTAGCAGCAGTGTAATATCTGCTGCTAGCCAATAAAAATAAGCAAGTTTATAACACAGCTTACAGAGAAGATGCCGTGTCAAACAGAGAAAAGGACTCTGTGAGATCAGACTTGAGCTCTGGCTTGTTTTAATGTTGTTGTGCCCTTCACAGCAGCAGAATATTAGATTCAGATTCAGGAGCTTGTTTTACTAAATGTCATGTCTCAGCATTTGTGTTTTACTTGTCTCATTTCTGCTGCGGTACTCTTGTGTTCTCAGGTTGCAGTTGTTCAGGTGCATCTTCTGAAGCTAACTCGGATAGAAATACAACCTGGAGAACTCGCCGGGAGAGATCTCTCCCAACAGTCTGTACCGTGCTCTTATCATGCAGCCAACCAACCTCATTTTTAAAATTAAATTGCATTCTAAAAGACCAGTTTGGTTTTATCAGAGATCCAGAGTTTGCTGATCATTTGCTCKTYCCATAATTTTCAGCTGAGAGTTGTAGTTTTWAAAATGTTAACTTTGTCTAGACAATTTAGCCTATTTCCAAACAACAAGTAATTTATYCTTAAAGTGGAATAGGAGATTTAAAAGAGAGAGAATTTATGACTACCAGATGCACACAATATATTAGCTGAGCCGGTACTTATTAACATAGATAGTTCCCTTATTACATTAATTTTACATGGAGATATGTGGAGTCTGTCATCTGGAATTAGAACTACATTGATATACAACACCCAGAGTCACTTCTGACAAGCAAAAGCCTCCAAGTTTCCCAACCCCATACTGCAACAAGCCTTGGGCACCCAGAGGCCTCCTCCCTATGCCCCTCTTCTCATGTAGAGGTAGGCAACATGTGGGGCCCACATGTGAGCAATTCTGCACCCTCCAGTAAAGAGCACTCACAGGTCTGTCAGCAGTGGGCTCTACAGCRTTGCAGCAAGTGCTGATGCACAGCACAGGGAAAGCTGTAATACTGTGACACATCAGGAGGAAACATRTATTTTCACCATTTACCTAACATTTTAAAGAGTCAACACCAGWGCAACACAGGTAGTAAACATGAGCTAGATAAATRCAGTGGTAGTGTTGCACTGTCTTTGTTAAAGAATGGYTATAGCTCCCAGTAACATGGGGCCTTACACAGTAAGAGCAAGTGGAAATTGAGAACCCTGAGCTGGGGTTGAATGTGTGGCAGTACTCAGTACTCCTGCCTCACACACGCAGTATCTATAATTACACAGTCACAGGCTTTCTATTTTTCCCAACAGTTTCAGATATTGTGAAGTCCACCCACAGTAAACACGACTCCTTTTCTCTTAGGCAAATRTAACTAGGCCTCTGGAATGCTAAGGTGCCCATAACTGAATTTAGATGCCTTAMWTTATAGACAATTGAGGAAAACTTATGATTTTCATCTAACACTGATTTTTCAAGTATTAGCTTGCATAAGGTTTGTTGCTGAAATGGTTTTTCTATTCAGTGAAGCAGAYTGTGATGGAATGACTCAGTGTGATGTTTTCCATCTTAATGGTTTGATAAACAGCTCTGTCTGGTTTGTGTTGTGTTTCTGTCCAGCAGAGGAAGTGACTGSGAAATGAAATGAACCTGCAGAGTTTCCTGGACTGGACTCTGCTTTGTTTGCTTATTTGATCACATATTTAGTCATCTCATAGTGTTCCTATAAAGCAGGACAATAATCCTCACCAWGCAGTTCTGCAAGAAATCAGAAACAACGGAAGGAAAACTTGATTTCTTCAGATTGCCAGCAACTCACTTTGGAGAAAAGACATGGCTAAACAAGATTAYTGGAAGACTTTTACACAAAGATAATGCCACTGTTATTATACTCTCTCCCTCATTAAGCAATAGTGATAACTGTAATCATAATCCAGTGAATTCCAATCTTCATGGGAAAAACTATTCTTTCTAAATTATCTGGAATACAGTGCTCACTATTTTTCTTATACTGAGGACAAGAGGGTTTTCTGACTTTTGATTTTATATTGGCCCTAGAAAGGTAATAATGACTTCTTTCTTCAGGAAGTTTGAGAAACCTGAACAATCTGTTCTTAATAAATATATGCTGCTGTTGTGCCTTCTAGAGAAGTGCTGAGTATATATCCCTGTCTTTAAATAGAAAGCAGTCAAAGGATAATTGCAGCATTTAAAAACACTGASAGCATTCTAAGTAGGAAGGAATGATGGTTCCACAGTTAAAGTATAAGCAAAAGAGAATATCTGGGTTATATTCCTGAACTGGGCAGATTTTTCCTTTATAACCTTGGGCAAAATGCTTCATCTGTGCCTGTCTACATTTCCATATTTTATTGGTATACAATGGGGATTATAACCCTTTTTTGCCTCAGAGAATACTAAAAATRTATGTGTGGGGACAGACATCCTGAGATGGAAGGTGTTATCTGACTCATTATAAATG